GGGGGGGGTGTTGTATTCGAGGGATGCCTGAAATGGATTCAAAACTGAAATAGTGACTGCGCCCTACTGTAGTGCGCCCTAGTTACCCCTTCTTCGTTTTTGCTTATGTCTGCCGTGTATGTGTGGGTTTAAACCGCTACAGTAGTACACGGCCCCAGCCTTGCAGAAAGTTTTCGTTGCCACAAGCAAAAGTCGGCGCCTGCGCGGCCATGGGCACCGTTGGAAAAAAAAATCTGGCGTCTGCCATGAATGTGTGGGTTTAAACCGCTAGTACACGGCCCCAGCCTTGCAGAAAGTTTTTTGTCTGCCGTGTATGTGTGGGTTTAAACCGCTAGTACACGGCCCCAGCCTTGCAGAAAGTGTTTTGTCTGCCGTGTATGTGTGGGTTTAAACCGCTAGTACACAGCCCCAGCCTTGCACAAAGTCTTTTGTCGCGACAAGCAAAACTCGGAGGTGCCGCACGGCATGGGGCGCCGTCGGAAAAAGAAATTGGCACCACTTCGTTGGCCGCTAGTACAAGGCCCCAGCCTTGCAGAATGTTTTTGTAGCCACAAGCAAAACTCGGAGGCGGCACGCGGCTAGGGGCACCGTTGAAAAGAAAAATAGGCGGCCCTCAAAGTGGTGAGGGTTTTATGCTGACACGCGCGGGCCGATGTGTGGTGTACTTGTGCTTACCCGTGTATGTGGCAGCAAGGGTCCCTCTCCCTCACATCTTGTTCATGCTCACGGGTGATGAGCAACCGGACTGAGGGCCCCCAGAATAGATGGGGCACCCATCTGTGTGGGGGGGGTTAAACCACCACAGTGACTACCTTTTAATGGAAAATATGGGAAGCTAGCCCACTCCTAAAAATCAGGGAGCTGGGCCCGAGGGCGGCCACTGTTGATAAATCTCGTAGGTGGCCGGCGTTTCATTTCGGCCTCGGAAACCATATAGGGTACCCTGCCATGTGAAAACGAGACGCAGGTAATGGTTGTTTAAACCAGCACTACCTGTTGCATGCCTGTCACTGAAAAGGCTCCACGAAGTCTGGAGGCCGATTTAAACCGCTGGAGGCCGGCTTAAACCCACGACTACCTGCAGCACGCCTGTCACCAAAAAGGCTCCACAAAGTCTGGAGGCCTGTACGCACTATCGATGGTGGGCCCAGCCTCCTGACACTTGAGGTAGTAGGCTACTACTTCAAAATCGGAGGCCTAAGGTAGTGGTGGTTAAAAAAGGAAAAAAGAAAAATAAAAGTGGGCACCAACCACTGTCCTCAAGGTTAGCTCTGAAGAAAATCAAAGCAGTCCATCGCTCGCCAACAGCAGATGGAAGACTCCAGAGACTGCAGGTTCAAACTCCATCATGTATGTTTTACGAAGAGCAGATGCTGTCCAGAGATCAAACGGTTGGTGCTCTCTTCTTATCTGAAGAGCTTAAACTGAAGCTTAATCAGCCAGGCCCAATTCCTGGCTTGTATAAACAAGTTCTCTCTTTTTCAAAAAAAAAAAAAAAAAAAAAGCCGGTGTGAAGCACAAAAAGTCATCTCTCTCTCTCTCTCTCTTTTTTTTTTTTTTTTTTTTTTTTTTTTTTTTTTTT